CAGATGCTCTTCCCTCAACATAGCTGGACCATCCTGGGTCCAGCTGTTCTTGCTGTGAAACTCTCAATACAGAACATTTCAGATTTCTGGTCTTTGTGTGGGTGGGATCAGCCAAGCCAGATCACCTGGCTCCCTATTTCAGCCCCCTTTTTTTCAGTTGAATGGGTGACTCTGTCTCTCACGCGTTTCAGGTGCCAGTTGAATTGGCCTCCCAGATTTGTGTGAGTTTTTGTGCAGAGACCCTCTGTACCAGCTGAAACAGCCAGCTGGAGACTCATGGTGCTTTTCTGCCTGGGAATCTCCTGGTCTGTGGGCAGTAAAAACTAATTTGGAAATGTGGTGGTCACTCACCCTCTGTATTCTCACCGGGAACTGCAGTTTAGAGCTGTTCCTATTTGGCCATCTTGGATCATCTCCCCAAAATTATTAACATGTATCAATTTATTTTCTATTTGGCCTCCTAAGTGAACCTTTTGTTTAAGAAGTTGCCAAACATAGGACCTACTACCCCTTCTTTGGCTAAGCTTTCTTTAGGCTGTAAAATCTGGTCACACAGAGGTGGAAAGTTTTATGACAGAAGTGAAAGTTTTATGACACAAGTTGATGAAACTCAATCAAGGGATTTTAGTCTCTTTTAATTCTTTATTGAATACTACTAAGTAGGGTTCAACCATTCCTCTTATTGCTTACAGCCCTCTTGTGAAGGAGAAGTTTCTACAAATGTCATTGTAAGGACCATTGCTCTCACAAAGCGGGTTTCCTTGACCCTTATTATTACCTCCTCTGAGTCAGAAGCTGTGTGCTCTTACCATTGAGACATGTTCGACAATGATTTTCCAGACCAACATTTAACTACATTAGGTTATCATTTGTATTCTTTCCTATAAATCTTACATAGCAAGAAGCATGCTTTCTTGGTAAATGTAATATTCTAACAGGAATTTTCAAACATTACATAGTTTTCTCATGTTTTATTATGTATAATTTATTTTTCTGGTAAGGGACCAAAAATTTTGGTGTGACTTGACTAAGAATAATGTCAGAGTTTATTAACCACACGTCTTCCTGTGGGAAAGAAAAAAACAATAACATGGTGATGCCAATGGGTCTTACAAAAGTCTCTGCAAACACTCATTTATTAGTTTCAATAGTTTTAAAATTAATGTTCTTGGGTCGATAATAATGATACCAAGAAATAAAAATAGTTTACTTTTTCTTTTCAACATTCATACCTTATAAATGTAATATATTAAGTCAAATAGATTATTGAAGAAAAACCACATGACCACCTGATTAGATTTTAAAAAGGCATTTGATAAAATTTACCAATCATTCTTACATTATTTTATGTATCTGTTTATTTACTGTTTTGAGACAGAGTCTTGCTCTGTCACCCAGGCTGGAGTATAATGGAGTGATCTTGGCTCACTGCAGCTTCTGCATCCCGGGTTCCAGCAATTCTCCTGCTCAGCCTCCCAGGTAGCTGGGATTACAGGTATGCACCACTACCCCTGGCTAATTTTTGTATTTTTAGTAGAGATGGGATTTCACCATGTTGGCCAGGCTGATCGCTAATTCCTGACCTCAGGTAATCCACCTGCCTCAGCCTCCCAAAGTGCTAGGATTGCAGGAATGAGCCACTTGGCTGGGCCTCATTCTTACATTTTTAATGTAGTGAACAAGGAATAAGATGTTTCTCTAACATGTTCAAGATTATGTATCTTAAACTAATCATCAACATTAAAATATCTTTGTGTTTCTGGATTAAGTCACATATTTTATGTTGGCTTTTAGTATTTCTCCTATAATTTATTAATGTAAAACACATTAACTAATTTCCTAATTAAAACCAATCTGCATTCTGGAATAACCCCAACTTGGTCTTTAATTACTATACTTTTTATACATTGCTATATTTGATATGCTAGTGTTTTAATTAGGATTTATGCATCAAAACTCATAATTCAGACTTGGCTGTAAATTCCTTTCTTGCAAAGTCTTTGAGGTTTTGTTATCCAAGTTAGAATAGCCTAATAAAATTAGTAGAGGAGTCTTCCCTCTCTTCAATTCTCTGGAAATGCGTGCGTAAAATTGAATTTTTTTTCCTGACTCTTTGGTAGAATGTACTGATGAAAACATCTGGGCCTGAAGATTTCTTTTTTCCTATGAGAATATTTATGACTTCTGTTTCAACTGGTTATAGAACTATTCCAGTTTTCCATTTCTTTTAATGTCAGTTGTGGCTAGTTACATATATTTTATAACCACTTTTCCATTTCATCTAAATTTTGAAATGCCTTGACAATCAACAAATTTTTTAGTAATATCTAACTATACATGTATTTAACCTCTCTTAAATTCTATTTTTTATTTTTTGTATTGATAATTTGTGCTATATCTCTTTGCTTTTGATCACTGTCACCAAAGGTTTATGAACTCCATTAATTTTTTCAAAGATCCAAATTTTGGCTTTGTTATTCCTCTTTATTGTATGTCTGTTTTCTATTTTATTTATTTCTTCTTCTTTTATATTGTCTTTTCTCCTACTTTCTGTGCATTTATTTTGCTAGTCTTTTTCAAACTTCTTGAGATATCTGCATAACTCATGAATCTTCAGATTTTCTTCATTTCATATATTGAGCATTTAAACCAGTAAATTTCCTTCTATATACAGGTTACCTTTATCCCAGTAATTTTTTCTGTATATTATTTTCATTATTATTCAATTCAAAATACATTCTAATTTTCATTATTACTTCTTTATCCAGTGATCATTTATAAATATATGACAGTTTTGTATTATTACATTGTTGCTGACTTGTTGTCCACTTAATTGCATAGAATATGCTCTGAATACCAAAATTCCCTGCTTTTTATCATAAAATATGACATATGTAGAAAATTGCACAAAATATATGTGTACAGATTAATAAATTATTAGTTGTGGTATAACCAGTCATGTAGCCCCTACTTAGCTCAAGAAATACAACACTGTCAGCCTTCCGGAAGCCTTTCTCATTTCTCTTTTCAAGCACAATGCCTTCCAACTTCTAATAATAACCATAATACTGACTTTTAAAATGATCAATTTCCTATTGTATATTAAATGTTTTTTCTATCTAAGCATAGATTTCTAAACATTATAGTTTAATCAGCTTGTTTCTGAACTTTATATAAATGGAATCATGTGGCATGAAGTATTTTATGTCTGGATTTTTTACTGAATATTATATATTTGTGATTTATCAGTTCCATGTAACAGTAATTGACTTATATTCACTGTTGCATAGTATTCAGTTGTTTAAAAATATAACAACTTATGTATCTATTCGATTGTTAGTAGACATTTGTTTCTTTCTATTTCAGGGCATAACACTTCTATAAACATTCTTCTATATTTCTCCAAGCATACATGTGCAAGAGTTTCTTTGTGGTATGGATGTAGGAGTGCCATTACTGCATCATAAGGCTTGCATATGTTCAACTTTATTTTGAAATAACTTTAAACTGATAAAAAAGTTGCGAAAATGGTAGAGTGTTCCCTTGAATCATTTGCTAAGATTTCTCTTATCATAACATTTTACATAATTATTGTACTACAATGAAAACCAGGAAATTAACATTACAATACTATAAACTATTCTACACACCTTATTGAATTTGCCAAATTTCCCACTTTAAACATTTCTGTACTCTCTCTTTTTTTTTTTTACATAAGAACACTTTTATTTTAATCACTTAACACTTGTGTAGTATTCAATTTTGAGACTGAAACACTTGTTTCCCTTTCAACTGATTAGGAAACAGTCTGAGTTGGCAGAAGTTAATCCTCACATTATTCAGCTAATGAGACAGAATCCTAAAACCTGATTCTAACTTCTGCCTGTATCCCACAATGCCTTTATTTTATTGTTATATAAGTATAAGGACCATATAATCTGGATTCGTTAACTTTAGGTAACAATAACTTAAAAGCTAGGGAAAGGTATACAGAGATTTAAAAATTGACTATACAATAAATGATGAAAACTAACAACAGAACATAACAATGTTCAAATAGTGAATACAATTAACAAATGGGGCCAAAAGGTCAACATTTATCTTGCATCATCTTTCAAGCAATGTCTCAGCTTTTTTCTCCCAAACATAAAGGCAGATTAATTCAAAGTAGCCCTATTAAGAATATTTGTTTGTTTCCTTCTGAAATGAATATTTGTTTGTTTCCTTCTGAAATGAATATTTGAATGGAAACTGTATCAATAACTCACAGCTTCTCCTAAACATAAAGACAGATTTTCTTTTCTCTCAAACATAAAGGCAGATTAATTCAAAGTAGCCCTATTAAGAATATTTGTTTTCTTCTGAAATGAATATTTGGATGGAAACTGTATTTGTAACTCATGGTTTCCTACTGAAGTTTAAGATTCCCCTAGATGATGGTCAGATTTAGACAATGCTAGAATAAGACAACTGGCAATTATTTCAAAGTATGAACTACAGGCAAAATCTAAAAGGACATACATAATTAAAAGTTTTAATTTAAAAAACATAGTAAATATAAATGAATTAACTCACACAACCTACTTACATACAGACAAAACTAGGATAAACAACAATTTTGCCACTTAACAGGAGCAAGATCTTAGGTGGGTCATTGTGTTTAAGGATGACTTGAAATTTTACAACACTACCTTAGCTCCCACACATGAAAACTCTTCAAGAATCTTATCAACTAGAAGTTGGGCAAACTACAGTGAGAAATAAAATGAAACAGCTTCTCACCCATATGAAGGCCCAGATCATGCCTAAATTTCTAGGGATTTAACTTAAGAAGCTCCTTGCCCTGAGAGATTCCTTGATCCCACAACACTCTCCTCAGATGGGACAGAGAATCCCAGAACACTACACAAGCCACAGAAGAAACACACAACCCATCTTGTATCTGGCACCAAAGGCTAATATCTAGCTATACACAGCATTGACTTTAAAGTTGGTTAATGAATATTTTAATTCATTAAAATAAAAGTTAGAAATTACATGCTTAGTCTATACAAGTTTAACTTACGTTAGTCCCTTAGTGAATTGTGAATTGGCTCCTGTTAGTGGTCAGGAGAATGCTTTGTATTTGGTGTAGAAACCAAATAAATCAAGCTATTATCATCTTTTGAGTACAAACAATGTTTGTTTGTAAAGTGCCAGTTTTATATTTAAGTAAACATTAAAATCTGCATTGAAGCAGTGAGACTGCATCATTCAACTGCCTGTGCTGGTTAAATGAAATGTTTAATCCTGCTGTGTCAAGCTCACTAGAAGGTCACCCCTCACTTTAAAGTCAAGAAGACTGCCACTGTCACTGCTATGGTAAGTCACAGCCAGCCAGCCAATCTGCTAGCAAAAGGTGATAGCACCAGCATTATAAATAAACAGGACTGGTTGTGAGGTAGCTACACAGTTTTAAAGATGCTGTTAATGAACATTACGGACAATGCATGGTGTAGCTAGTTGATAACACTTTAGGTGATGTTTTCATGAGGTGGAAAAAAAATCAGCAAAATAAAGGCACATCTTCGGTTCATTTACAAGTCAGCATCCAAGGTAAAAGAATTCTCTGTTGGACTTGACATCACTCCCATCCTCTGATACTTGCCTACTCTCTTCTCAAAGAAGTTAGTCTTTCCTTCCAGTGAAATATTCTCCATAAAGTCAAATGGATTCTCTACTCTGAAAACCTTGCTAAAACCCAGTTCCAGCATAAGTCTGTCTGCTACAAACTCAATGCATTGCTTCATTAGAGTGCAATTCTTCCCAATGAGCTTCACAGGCAAGGCCTCAGTGAGGAGCTCCTGTTCTATCCGAATAGCATTGATAATTATTTCTCTTACTCTCTCCTCTGATGGTTTGTGTACTAGCTGTTTGAACATCAGGCAAGCAAAATCACAGTGTAAACCCTCATCTCTGCTAATAAGTTCATTAGAAAATGTGAGGCCAGGCATCAGTCCTCGTTTCTTGAGCCAGAATATGGATGCAAAAGAACCAGAAAAGAAGATGCCTTCCACTGCAGCAAAGGCTACGACACCTTCACCATAGGTAGTCTCTTTGTCCCCAATCCAGGGCAAGGTCCAATCTGCATTCTTCTTGACACAAGGCATCGTTTCAATGGCATTGAAGAGAAATTCCCTTTCGTTGGGATCTTTTATGTAAGTGTCAATAAGGAGACTATACATTTCAGAATGTATGTTTTCCATGGCAATTTGGAAGCCATAGAAACAGCAGGCTTCTGTAATCTGAACTTCTTGGCTAAATCACTCCACCAAGTTTTCATTTACTATGCCATCACTTGCTGCAAAGAAAGCCAGAACATGGGATATAAAGTATCTCTCCTCCGGCTTCAGGGATTCCCAGTGCCAAATGTCCTTGGACAGGTCCACCTCCTGGCGGTCCAGAAGGAGGCCTCCGCCTTCTTATACATCTGCCAGATATCGTGGTACTCCATGGGGAAAATGACAAAGCGGCACGGGTTTTCTCTCAGCAGCGGTTCATCCTCCATGCTGGGGGCGGCTGCTCTAGCTTTCAGCTCTGCGGGCTCCCGAAAGATCCTCCTCGCGGTCTTGCAGGCCAGGACGCAGGTCCGGTTCAGGGCTGGGGGCATGTTCTCCTTGTCGACCAGGCTTGAGCCCCTTCAGCGGGAGAGCTGCAGCCGCTGCGGGTCCGTGATGGGCGCGAGTGGGACGCAGACGGACAGCGTGGTGACGGCGCAACTAAGGAGAGCTGGCAGTCAGTCCGGGCAGCTGGGAAGGGGTGCACAGGCATTTCTGTACTCTTATATGTTAGATATGTTCCTTACAAAGAGTATTTAATTTGATTTTCTTAAATTTCAGTCCAACAGTCTCTGTCTTTTAAATATACCATTTGGTCCATTTACATTAAATACAACTGCTAATAGATAATTTATATAAACAATTATAACCTACTCCTATGTCCTGAATGGTTTTGCCTAGATTTTCTTCTAGGGTTTTTATGGTGCCAGGTCTTATGTTTAAGTCTTTAATCCATCTGGAGTTAATTTTAGTGTAAGGTGTCAGGAAGGGGCCCAGTTTCTGCTTTCTGCACATGGCTAGCTAGTTTTCCCAACACCATTTATTAAACAAGGAATCCTTTCCCCATTGCTTGTTTTTATCAGGTTTATCAAAGATTGTATGGTTGTAGATATGTTGTGTTGCCTCCGATGTCTCTGTTTTGTTCCATTGGTCTATATCTCTGTTTTGGTACCAGTACCATGCTGTTTTGATTACTGTAGCCTTGTAGTATAGTTTGAAATCCAGTAGTGTGATGCCCCCTGCTGTGTTCTTTTTGCTTAGAATTGACATGGCTATGCGGGCTCTTTTTTGGTTCCATATGAAGTTCATGGTGGTTTTTTCCAGTTCTGTGAAGAAAGTCAATGGTAGCTTGATGGGGATAGCACTGATTCTGTAAATTACTTTGGGCGGTATAGCCATTTTCACGATATTAATTCTTCCTAACCATGAACATGGAATGTTTCTTCATCTGTTTGTGTCCTCTCTTATTTTGTTGAGCAGTGGTTTGTAGTTTTCCTTGAAAAGGTCCTTTATGTTCCTTGTGAGTTGTATTCCTAGGTATTTTATTCTTTTTGTAGCAATTGTGAATGGCAGTTCTTTCTTGATTTGGCTTTCTTTAAGTCTGTTATTGGTGTAGAGGAATGCTTGTGATTTTTGCACATTGATTTTATATCCTGAGACTTTGCTGAAGTTGCTTATCAGTTTCAGGAGTTTTTGGGCTGAGGCGATGGTGTCTTCTAGGTATACTATCATATCATCTGCAAATAGAGACAATTTGGCTTCCACCTTTCCTATTTGAATACGCATTATTTGTTTTCCTTGCCTGATTGCTCTTGCTAGAACTTCCAGTACTATATTGAATAGGAGTGGTGAAAGAGGGCATCCTTGTCTAGTGCCAGATCTCATGATCAAAACACCGAAAGCATTGGCAACAAAAGCCAAAATAGACAAATGGGACCTAATCAAACTCCACAGCTTCTGCACGGCAAAAGAAACAGTCACTAGAGTAAATCGGCAACCAACAGAATGGGAAAAAATGTTTGCAGTTTACCCATCTGACAAAGGGCTGATATCCAGAATTTACAAAGAACTCAAACATTTACAGGAAAATAACAAACAAGCCCATTCAAAAATGGGCAAAGGATATGAACAGACACTTCACAAAAGAAGACATACATGAGGCCAACAAACATATGAAAAAATGCTCATCATCACTGGTCATCAGAGAGATGCAAATCAAAATTACATTGAGATACTATCTCATGCCAGTTAGAATGGAGATCATTAAAAAATCTGGAGACAGAAGATGGCGGCGGGGGCAAGGTGAGGTGTTGGCAGTGGAAAGGGGTTCGGGCGTGGGGGGCGGGGGCCGCGGGGAGATGGCCCGCTCCGGCCGCAGGGGCGGATAAAAAGCCGTCACGCTGCGGGAGCGGGCGGGAGGGAGAGAGGGTTCCCGAGCGCCACAAGAGTATGACGGGGCTGTACGAGTTGGTGTGGCGGGTGCTGCACGCGCTGTTCTGCCTGCACCGCACGCTCACCTCCTGGCTCCGCGTTGGGTTCGGCACCTGGAACTGGATCTGGCGGCGCTGCTGCCGCGCCGTCTCTGCCGCGGTCCTAGCGCCACTCGGCTTCACGCTCCGCAAGTCCCAGGCGATCGGCAGGAACCGCCGTTACCATAGGCACCCACGCGGGGGGTCGTGCCTGGCCGCTGCCCATCACCGGCTGCGCTGGCGCGCGGACGGCCGTTCCCTGGAGAAGCTGCCTATGCACATGGGCCTGGTGTTCACCGAGGTGGAGCAGGAGCCCAGCTTCTCGGATATCGCAAGCCTCGTGGTGTGGTGTATGGCCGTGGGCATTTCCTACATTAGCGTCTACGACCACCAAGGTATTTTCAAAAGAAATAATTCCCGATTGATGGATGAAATTTTAAAACAACAACAAGAACTTCTGGGCCTAGATTGTTCAAAATATTCACCAGAGTTTGCAAATAGTAATGACAAAGATGATCAAGTTTTAAATTGCCATTTGGCAGTGAAGGTGCTGTCCGCGGAAGATGGAAAAGCAGATATTGTGAGAGCTGCTCAGGACTTTTGCCAGTTAGTAGCCCAGAAACAAAAGAGACCCACAGATTTGGATGTAGATATGTTAGGCAGTTTACTTAGTTCAAATGGTTGTCCTGATCCTGATTTAGTATTGAAGTTTGGTCCTGTGGACAGCACATTAGGCTTTCTTCCCTGGCACATCAGATTGACTGAGATTGTCTCTTTGCCTTCCCACCTAAACATCAGTTATGAGGACTTTTTCTCTGCCCTTCGTCAATATGCAGCCTGTGAACAGCGGCTGGGAAAGTAGTGGTCATGGGTTGCATAATTTGATTTTAGGGTTATGGAGGAAAGGATCCAAGTGACTCTGATGTTTACAAAGCACCCCCTACACACCTAGTTCATAATCCTCATAATTTATCAGCAAATACAAAAAAGTGTCTTACTTGAGATTGAGTGTGTGTGTGTGTGCGCGCGTGTGCACGTGCACACATGTGCACGTTTGTATGTGTGGAAATAAACTTATAAATGGGGATGTATTAGAGAAAGAAATACATACACCTACAACTTTGAGCAGATAGCAGCGATGTTTTAGGAACTGGAATGTCACACTTAACATCTTCAGCCCCAGCTACTTCCCTGTTTTTGTGGGGAGTAGAGGGCCTGATAGAACTTTTCAGGTTGTGTTTGATGGGAGGGGAATAATTTTTGTTCAGTCCTTCTTAGTGACCAAACTTTAATTTTTAAGAATAATATATTGACTTACTGAATTGAAGCATTCTGAGTTTAAAGGAGCTCCAGAGGAATGGAGTTTTGTGTTGCTCTTGTGTTAAAAGCTTGCTCACCTTCAGAGAGAGCAGAGGGAATACCTATCTTCATATATCCGTCCATTTTCATCTCTTTATTACAGTCACAGTGTGACTTGAGAGTGTTGCTCTGGTGTCTGTATTCTGGGTTATGAAACTCTTACTGCATTGAAATATAGACTTTAAAAAATTTAAATATTGGTAGGCAGTCAAAAAAAGCAAACAAGCATAAAAGGTGAATATGTTGTAATCTTAAAAGATGGAGAACTCATTTAAAAAGGAAAGAAGGTTTTGATTTCCTTTTTTGTTTGATGGGCAGCATGCTGTATCATACCCAAAGTTGGTTTAAAAAGTATTTCCATCAACTATTTTTATTTAAAATAAACATTTGAGGGAAGTTACTAAGGCAGCTTTTTTCCTCAAAAGTAACCTGGTTACTCTTTGGAATAGCACATTTTAGGGCCATGGTTAATACCTGAGACTTTTACTCAGTAAGTCCTGATGATTACTGTGTATAAAAGGATTGAAGGCCTGTGTGGGGAATAAAATATTACCAAAGTCTATCAAAATAAATTTTACATGTTCTCTTTTATGACAGAGAGCAGCACTGGTTCTGTTATTTTTAAAATGAATAATTGATTTCTTTTTTTTTTTTTTTTGAGACGGAGTTTCGCTCTTGTTACCCAGGCTGGAGTGCAGTGGCGCGATCTCGGCTCACCGCAACCTCTGCCCCCTGGGTTCAGGCAATTCTCCTGCCTCAGCCTCCTGAGTAGCTGGGATTACAGGCATGCGCCACCGTGCCCAGCTAATTTTTTGTAATTTTTAGTAGAGACAGGGTTTCACCATGTTGACCAGGATGGTCTCGATCTGTTGACCTCGTGATCCACCCGCCTCGGCCTCCCAAAGTGCTGGGATTACAGGCTTGAGCCACTGCGAATAATTGATTTCTTGATATGTGTCTAATATTTCTTCCCTCACTGCTGATTCTTAGATAGAAACCATTCTTTATATTTGATAGACTGTTTTCAGAAAACCCTTATCAACAAGTGTAGTTTTCTAAAACCTTACATTTAGAATGGAGCAGTTTAATACTAGATCTCAGAAGTTTGAAAATAGCAAAGAAGATTGGATTTGAAAAGCATGGTCTACAATTCCTTGTAAAATTCTGAAGCTATGAAGGATAAATGTTTCAACGCTGGATTATGAAACCCCATTTATGATTTTTAAAATACACTTGAAATAAAAATGATTAAACTAAAAAAAAAAAAAAATCTGGAGACAACAGATGCTGGAGAGGATGTGGAGAAATAGGAACACTTTTACACTGTTGGTGGGAGTGTAAATTAGTTCAACCATTGTGGAAGACAGTGTGGTGATTCCTCAAGGCCTTAGAAATAGAAATTCCATTTGACCCATCAATCCCATTACTGGGTATATATCCAAAGGACTATAAATCGTTCTACTATAAGGACACATGCACACGAATGTTCATTGCAGCACTGTTTACAATAGCAAAGACCTGGAACCAACCCAAATTCCCATCGATGATAGACTGGATTGGGAAAATGTGGCACATATACGCCATGGAATATTATGCAGCAATCAAAAATGATGAGTTCGTATCATTTGTAGGGACATGGATGAATCTGGAGAACATCATTCTCAGCAAACTGACACAAGAACAGAAAATGAAACACTGCATATTCTCACTCATAGGCGGGTGATGAAAAATGAGAACACATTGACCCAGGGAAGGAAGTACTAAACACTGGGGTCTATTGGGGGGAATAGGGGAGGGACAGTGGGGGGGGGAGCTGGGGAGGGATAGCCTGGGGAGAAATGCCAAATGTGGGTGAAGGGGAGGAAGGCAGCAAAACACACTGCCATGTGTGTACCTATGCATCTGTCTTGCATGTTCTGCACATGTACCCCAAAACCTAAAATGCAATAAAAAAATAAAATTAAATTAAAATAATTAAAAAAAATTATAACCTACCATTTTATTTTGTGCTTTATATATATACTTTTTCTTAACTTTTGAGTACTCTTTGGGTTCAAAGGATAATTTTTATCTGTTTTTATCACCTCAGTTTCTCCCATTTTTTTCTTTTAGAGTTTGCCATAGAAATTGGAACATGAACACTTAACTTCTTGAAGCCTAAAATTAATCAGTTTACTATAAGGACATTTACAACACTCTGAGCCCATTTACTTCATGGATTTTTATGTCTATGGTAATTGTTAATTCTACTAGACAATATTATTTATATTTTAAAAATAAATTATATGGTTTATATTTAAGGTACACAACATGATGTTATGGGATAATACATGTTTATAGTAAAAAAGCTACTATAGCGAAGCAAATTAACATATCCTTTGTCTCCCAGCTACCTTTTTTTATGGCAAGAGAAGCTGAAATCTACTCATTTAGCATGAATCCCAAATAAACTACAGTTTTATTACCTATAGTCTTCATGTTGTATGGGAGGTCTCTAGACTTGTTCATCTACATATTTGCTACTTTATATCTTCTGACCTACATCTCCCATTTCCTTTCTACCCCGCAACATTCCTGATAACCACTGTTTTGTTCTCTATCTCTAGATATTATATTTAATTTTTTGGAAAATTCCACAGATAAGTGAAATCATGCAATATTTTTGTTTGTTTCTGGTTTATTCACTTAGCATAATGTCCCCCTAGGCTCATCCACTTTGTGGCAAATAGCAAGATCTCATTCTTTTCAAGGGCTGAATAATCTTCCATTTTGTTTGTACACACATACACTCAAACACACCCCATACATCAGTATGTCTTTATCCATTTGTCTGTCAATGAGCACTTAACATTGTTTCCATATGTTGGCTATTGTGAATACTGCTGCAATGAACATGGGAGTGCCAAAATCTTTACAAGGTGGTCATTGCATCTCCTTTGGATATATATTTAGACAAGGGATTGCTGGGTCATATGGTAATTCTATCTTTAATTTCTGTAGAAACCTTCATACTGTTTTCCATAATAGCTATACCAATCTACATTACCACCAACAGTATGCAAGTGTTCTCTTTTCTCATATCCATCCTAACATTTGTTATCTTTTGATTTTTTGATAATAGCTATTCTAATGAAATAAAGTGATATCTCATAGTGGTTTTAATTTGCATTTCCCTGATGATTAATGATGTTGAACACTTTTGCATATTCTTGTTGGCCATATTTATGTCTTCTTTGGAGAAATGTCTATTCAGGTCTTTTGCCCATTTTTAAAATCCAATTATGCATTTTTCTATTTGTTATTTATTCATTCTGTTTGCTGTATGATTTCTTTATAAATTTTACATATTAACCCCTTATAAGCTGTATGTTTTACAAATATTAGTTTCTAGTCCATAAAATGCCATTTCATTTTGTTGATTGTTTCCTTTGATTTGCGGAAGCTTTTTAGTTTAATGTAGTTCCATTTGCTTATTTTTGCCTTTGTGACCTGAGCTTTAGGATCAAAAATTCATTGCTAAGGCCAATGTCCAGAGGCTTTTCCTCTGTGTTCTCTTCTAGGAGTATTATAGTTACTGGCCTTGCATTTAGGTCTTTTATCCATTTGAGTTTATTTTTGTGTGGGGTTATTTTTGTTTAAAATACACAATGCTTGGTCACATTCATTTATGCATTTAGCCTTTACTTTGCACTTTATTTCCTATTGCATATCAGACTCTCCCTTTCAAATCACTTTTCTTCAGTTGAAATTATATCTTTCATCATTCTTCTTTGAGTTTTACACTGCTGGCAAACTCTCCTTTTGTTTTTGGTCAGAAAATGTCTCTACTTTACCCTCAATCTTGAAAAACAATTTTATTGGATATAAGATTTTAATTGGCAGTTATTTTCTTTCAACATACAAAAGATATTTCACTACCTCCAGGCTTTCAGTGTTTATTGTTGGTCTAAGTGAGGCTCCTTTGAAAATAATCATTCTCTTTTCCTACAGATTCTTTTTAAATGTTAAGTCCTTATTTTTCTGCAATTCAGTGTGTGTCAGGATTTGTACTTCTTTTTGGTTTCTTTCATTAGTTCTGGAAAATTCTCAGCTATTATCTCTGTTCCATATCTTTCTTTCTCTTCAACTGGAACCTTTATCAGATGTATAATAGATCTTCTTAACCTAAGAAACTCTTAAAGAAGCTCTAAGCTCCATGTTAAACTCTGGTTTATACTTTCTACTTGCTTTTGTCTCTGTATTCTGAATAGTTCTTTTCTTACCCATCTTCAAATTCATGAATCCTCTTTCGACAGCTTCTTGTATGTTGCTAATTCTATCCATTGATTTTGTATTTCAATTTTTATGTTTTTTATTTTTAGAAGTTTGCTTAGTTCTCTTTCAAATATGCTAGTTTCTTTTTAAGTTTCCTATTCCCTGAAAATACTTTGTTTTTCATTTTCAAAACATAGTCATTTTATTTCCTGTAACTGGAATACTACATCTAAATTCATTGTATATTTGTTTCTGCTGTTCGTTGTTTTAGGCTGGGTCTTATGCATAGTGACTTATTTCCTTGTGGTGCTTGGTTACTTTTGACCATGAGTTGCTTTTTGTTTTCCATTGGAAAATTATTTTTGTAGTGTCTTAGAGGCCTAAAGAGAAGAAAGCTTTGCCTCTGACTAGTGCATAGAAACACTACCACTTTGGAAACAAAATTATAGCTTAAAGTTTTCTGGACTACCTTGGTGTTGTAAGTATTGTATGCAAACTCCTGAAGCATCCATATGGTTACAACTTCTCAGGGGTGTTTATTTCCTACCCCTGCTCTGCTTAGAGCCAAGTCAACATTCCTTGAAGAAGCAGAACAGGTTCATTTCTGGTTTTTCTTTTTCCTGAGGGAATATTCCTTTAGTATCTTGGCTTTATGAGAGAAGAGTCTCTATTTAGATCCTCACCTAGTTCATCTTGAGTACACACTAGGCTTTGAATTCTGTTTTCCATGCTCTAAAAGGCCACTAAAGCCAAAGTTGCTTGGTTCAGCAAATCCTTTTCGGGCAAAAGCAGTTTCAGTGCTATGCTCATACCTTGAGTCTTTTCTCTGTTTAAGTTTTTCCCTGAAAATGTCTTACTATCTTACCACTTCTTTATTGCTTTAAAGCATTCACTTTTTATGTGCTGTCCAGCATTTTAAGTTATTCTTGCCTTCAGTCAGTAGTGTTGTTTTGAATAACCTAGCCTGCCATACGACTGGAAACAGAAGTCTTCTTTTGGAATGATAAAAGCGTATCCAAGCGTTTCTATTCCCTTTTTCATTCCTAACATATTAGGTGTGTGTGTGTGTGTGTGTGTGTGTGTGTGTGTGTGTATGTTTCTTAATGAGAAATCTAACTTTCCCCCCTTATAGGAAGGATAGCCAAGATGGCCAATCACTAGCAGCTCAGGTTTGTAGCTCCCAGTGAGAGTGCAGAGAATGACAGGATGCCACACTTTCAGATGAATTTTTGTTGCTCACGGACCAGGAGATTCCCAGCGGAGGAGCCCCATGGGTCGCCAGCATGACTCTTGTGGCCAGCATGGCAGTTTTGCCAGTGCCCTGGCACAGCGGTTCTCGGTGCAGAGTAAATGGGACTGGGTCCCCTTTTGGTCATCATTTGGAGAAGAGTAGCTCATTTAGCTGT